GTGGGGGGAAGGAGCCCTCCAGCAGGGCAGGGCAGGGCAGGGCAGGGGCCTTCTGCTGCCACAGCTGCTGCCTGGGGTAGGGGCTCTTGACGCTTCTGTGGATATTTCCCATGTATCCATCTTTCACATAAGGACCTTGCAGAGCATGAGCTTTTATTTTTCACCTAAATGAAAGCACAAATGTGTTTGAATTAATCACAGAGACTCTTGCATCAAGGAGATATTTGAAGCAGCTCCTGTAAGGAACAGCTTTAGAATGTAAGTATGGGCACAGACAGATAGGGAACTTTTGACAGTAAGGCTCTGCAATGTGGTTTTGGACTGTGCTGCTTGGGAGGTGTGTGTGCAGCTGGGGAAGGAGAAGGCTTCCTGGAGTGCCCCTTGCAACCGCAGTGCTGATGGGGGATGATAAGCTCCAGTTCTGCTACTGATCCTGTCGTAGGGGAGTTTTCTTAAGACCATGTTGTCCCTCTCCTTAACACTTCTGACGATTGGTGCAGTGAGATTTTTTCTGATTAAGGAATGAGCTTGTTCTCCGCAGGAGACATCAGCTCGAGGCTACCACTGTGGCGGTGCCCTGGAAGGCTGCCACAAGCCCCAAGATGGGCACAGCTCCTGTGCGCCCATCCTCCAATCTGAGAGCCTTTGCTCCTATGATGTGATTCATTAGCCTCACCATGTCCCTTTCCTCCTCCCCCACAGAGCTGAGCTGGGCTGAGAGACAGCTGTTGGACATTGGCCCTCTGCACAGCCTGGGCTCTTCTCCGGAGCAACCTGTGTGTGCAGCTGTCCTCCAGCTGAGCAAGGGGCAGCACGGGGCAGGTAGGTACAAGCCTGATGGACAGAGCAGCTTGACTCTTCTCTGAGGACTGACTTGTGCTTACGCCAGGAAAGCAAACCTGAAGATTTTTTAGAGTCACACTTTTTAAGGGGAAATCCAAACCCAATTCATAGAAAATTTTTTCCTTCTCATCTCATTGAAAGCAAGATATAATGATTATTTTAATCAGTGGGAGACTGCATAAAGCAAAGCTTTTTCATCTGAAGAAACAGAGCATTCTGCAAATTGATTTGAAGTCAGGCTCTCCCCTACCAAAATGACAAACTGTGTAGAAGTTTGGTTCAGTGCTGATCTCATGAGCATCTCTTTCTCTCTTGCCCAGCGTGGGAACATGAGTTCTGTGATTGAGATGGGTTCATACCCATCTCTGAAGTATAGAAAAGTAGGACGAGATGAATGCCATCATCTTCCCTTACCCAGACCGATGGACAGAGTGCCAGTTTCATGGCTCATTGTGATAAAATGCTAATATTCCCAAAAAGCCTGAGGACAGAATCTGAATAATTTAAAGCGGGGATCCAAGTGCAGGAAACTTTCCATTTAAAATCTAAGAGTTACTGATGGAAACTTCCATTTCCCCAAAGGCTTAGAGCAGGGCTGACTCCTCTGAGATCTTTTCTTGTCTTCTTCTCTGTGCACAGAACCACATCCACAGAAGTACCAGATGCCCAACAACAGCTCCATCAGCGAGTTCCTCCTGCTGGCATTGGCAGACACGCGGCAGCTGCAGCTCCTGCACTTCTGGCTCTTGCTGGGCATCTACCTGGCTGCCCTCCTGGGCAACGGCCTCATCAGCACAGCCGTAGCCTGCCACCACCGCCTGCACACCCCCATGTACTTCTTCCTCCTCAACCTCGCCCTCCTCGACCTGGGCTGCATCTCCACCACTCTCCCCAAAGCCATGGCCAATGCCCTCTGGGACACCAGGACCATCTCCTATGCAGGATGTGCTGCACAGCTCTTTTTCTTTCTCTTCTTCATCTCAGCAGAATATTGCATTCTCACCATCATGTCCTATGACCGCTACGTTGCCATCTGCAAGCCGCTTCATTATGGGACCTTGATGGACAGCAGAGCTTGTGCCACCATGGCAGCAGCTGCCTGGGGCACTGGGGCCCTTAATTCTCTTCTGCACACTGCCAGTACATTTTCACTGCCTCTCTGCAAAGGCAATGCTGTGGATCAGTTCTTCTGTGAAATCCCCCAGATCCTCAAGCTCTCCTGTTCTGCTTTTTACCTGAGAGAAGTTGGACTTATCATATTTAGTGCCTTAATCTTTTATGCTTGTTTCATATTCATTGTGCTGTCCTATGTGCAGATCTTCAGGGCTGTGCAGAGGATGCCCTCTGAGCAGGGACGGCACAAAGCCTTCTCCACGTGCCTCCCTCACCTGGCTGTGCTCTCCCTGTTTCTCAGCACTGTGATGTTTGCCCACCTGAAGCCACTTTCCATCTCCTCCCCATTCCTGGATCTGGTGGTGGCAGTGATATACACGGTGGTACCTCCAGTAATGAACCCCGTCATCTACAGCATGAGGAACCAGGAGCTCAAGGATGCTCTCAGAAAACTGTTTGGAGATATCTTGCTTCGGCATCAATAACATGTTTATCGTATGACTATCAGAAATTCAGGAAAAGCTCAGAATGCCTTTATTTCATCTCTTTCACCGTCCCTCCCTTTTTATTGTTCCTATGATAATTTTAGTTGCAATAAAGCAATGCTGTTCATCACATTTCTTCTTTATTTTCTTCTTTGTTTCTGGCTGGAAATCCTACCAAAGTACAAAAGTAGCTGGGCTCTTTGAATAGATAAAGAATTCATCAGAAACTCATTTATATCAGCTCCTACCTGCTCTGGATCGCAGAGAGCAGCCCTGCACACAAGAGGAGTGCAGGAACCAAGAGCCCAATGCCACACGTTGCAGCAGCCCTGGTGTCTGTGGGGCTGCCCCTCACCACCTGCTGGGCGCTCCCTCTCTGCTGCCTTGGAGTTGTGCTGCTGCTTCCTTGGAGCCACGGCCATGGGCAGCAGCAGGACGTGCTCTTTTCAGTGCTGCTCTCTTTGCACCACCTTTGCACGCTGTTCTCCTTTCTCCTTGCACTTGTGTCAGCCCTCAGGTCCTGCATTACGTAGCAGACCAACAAAAAACACTTTGCCTGCGGTGTGCCTGGAGTTGTCTCAAAGGCTTGGAAGAGCATTGCCATGTCAACAGACAAAGGTTGGAGTCTTGGGGGAGGAGGGAATCCTGTGAAAAATGAGACAGCCTTGCTCTGTCCAAAAAGTTCCCATTGTGCTGTAGGAAGTTCTGACTGCAAACTTGTTTTTGATGGACTTGTTTATTGCCAACTCACTCACAGCTGTAAACCTAGGAGCCACAGAAGGATGCCAGAGAGATCTTTGAGGTTCTGTTTTGAGACTTCCATGCTTCAAAACTATGGGACAAGCACACCCACAAGCCAAGGACCCCACACCTCTCTCTGCAGGATCAAAGCTGGAACCCGGACTTGTGATCTCTTTCTCTGTTCCTCTCTCTCTCTCTCCCCCAACTCAGTCTCTCTCTTTTTCTCTTCCTCACATAGAGATGTTAAGTAACACACGGCATTCTTTGATTTCTTATAACATCAACGGGCCCTGTGCAAAAACATCTCCAGAGGAGAGTGGTTTGCCCTTTCCAGAGGCTGGAAGAAAACTGCTTTTCCCAACATGCTCTTTACATGTACAACAGGGATTTTATCTCCCTCTACAGTATTTATGGAGCTGGATTGGATAGGACCATCATGATTGATAGCTCCTCTGACACTGTCCAACCAGGTGTCTTCTGCCAAATACTTCTCCCAGTGCTTAAATGTTCCGCCACCCATTGCTTTCAGCACAGTTTTTAACAACCCATTCTATCATTCAATTTTATGAGAGGCTGGTGCATGGTAGGGAATATGGTAAATCCACTCAATGCCATGATCTTTGGCCCAAGTATTTACAAGAGAATTATTGAAATGAGTCATGTTATCTGACTCAATTCTTTCTGGGGTGCCATGTTGCCAAAGGACTTGTTTCACAAGACCTAATATGGTGTTTTGGGCGGTAGCATGGGGTACTGCATATGTTTCAAGCCACCCAGTGGTTCCCTCCACCATGGTGAGCACATAACACCACTGCGAGATCGTGCCAAGGTGATTGAATCTACCTACCATGCCTCCCCATATTTATACTTTTGCCATCGCCCTTCCCCCAAAAGAGGTTTCATTGTCCAGTCTTGTTTAATTGTGGCACATGTTTCACAGTCATGAATAACCTGTGCAATTGCATCCACAGTTAAGTCCACCCCTCGGTCTCTAGCCCACTCGTATGTTGCATCTCTCCCTTGATGGCCCGAGGTCTCATGGGCCCACCGAGCTGGAAATAATTCACCCTTGTTTTCTGCCAGTCCAGGTCTATCTGAGCCACCTCAATTTTGGCAGCTCAGTCTACCTGATGGTTATTTTGCTGTTCTTCAGTAGCCCTGCTCTTAGCAATCCTGCAACAGAAGGGTCCTCTGAGAGACCAGACAAGGTATACAGCTGTTTAATGCCCTCCATCTCCAAGGCTGCTGTACTGAAAGCCCACCAGTACCCTTTTTGGGTCCTTGGAGTGCTCTCTCCCAAAGCAATCTGTAGCAGGGATGCACAGAGCCTCTAGGCCAGTCACAATGGTAATCACAAACGTTCCTTTGCCACTCATTTAGTTAGGCTCACTTTGGCCTCTAGCTGAGTTCACTCTTGTGTTCCCCTGTCACTCCTGAAATACAAATTGGTTTTGTTCCTTTATAACTGGATGGCATTAGAGTTGTGCAGCAGTGTCAGCTAGAGCCTCCTATTTCTGTGGACCTGATGAGCTGCCATTTTCCTGGAAGGACCCTTTCTTGTGATTGTTTTCCCTTGCACCTCACGTACCCATGCCTGTAGGGCTGAGGTGAGTTTTGCCATCCCACATCCTCGTACCCTCTCCATGGTCACACACGTAAAACCACAGGATGGTACATGGCTGTTACCTTGAAGCGTGGGGCGAATGACACTCTGCACAGTTCCAATACCATTTGTGCTTTCCTTTTTTTTTTTTTTTTTCCCATGGATGGGAAGCTGGACGTGAGCCAGCAATGTGCCCTCACAGCCCAGAAAGCCAGCCGTACTCTGGGTTGCTTCAGAAGAAGTGTGACCAGCAGGGTGAGAGAGGTGATCCTGCTCCTCTACTGCGCGCTGGTGAGAATTCACCTGGAGTACTGCGTCCAGATGTGGAGTCCTCAGTACAGGGGAGACATGGAGCTGTTGGAGCACGTATAAAGTGGGCCACAAAAGTGATCCACAGAATGGAACATGACTCTTACGAGGACAGGCATGAGGTGGGGCTGTGCAGC